TCCAGGTATAATAGCTGTAATATCAGCGCGAATCCTTCGCCTACGTCCGGATTGATTAATATCAGACAATATTAATCTATCACGTTCATAAAAATATTGCTAAGATAACATTAAAGTTCGCTAATTTTACAGCGCGCTAATGTATGGAAGTGGTAACGGTCTACCCTTTGGTGCTGGGGTGCGGTGCTGGAGTGCAGGTATCTGGACTTCGGTGAAGCACAGGTGGCATTTGGACCTATATATTCTATGGGCTGGCCTATCAACTCGCAGCTGTTCTGCTTGCTACATCGCTTCGGTGGTATCTTTACCAGGCGTTAGGTTCCAACTTTCTTTGGCTGCTGTTTTTAGCATATTGCTCCTTATCTGGCTTTACAGATTAATAGAGGGAAAGATCGAGGCAGCCTGAGCACACGGTGACTAGCTGGCAAATCATGGACAAGATAGATTTAAATCAATTCAGGTGCTTCTTGACGCCGGAGACGGCAGCCGGAGGGGATTGAGTAGGCGAGTCGGAGCGGCTCTGTTCCACCAAGTCATCGCGATCCTGGCTGAAGCTGCCGGGATGGCGGAAGAAGCGATTCTGACCGAGAGGTGGATGAGTGGCCGCCACGGAAGCTGTGGGCGTCAGTCGACCGTCAACTACCAAGATATCACAAAATGAGTTGTCTGCAGATGGTCAAATAAATTGCTATGAACTATGCCGCCGAGGAAATGAGCAGCCAGAAATCCTCTCTCGTTTAGTGGCATCAACTCCCCAGATTCCATTATTCGCATTGACGCGGCATATATTAGAAGTCCCCGTAGGGCCCCAGCCGGCCTAGTCGGGCCCATTAATTATGATTTTCTGCCATCCGACATTCTAGATTTGGTTTTTAAGATGTCCATATCTGTTGATGCGTTCTTCACACCAGCATTCGGGACATTGATATGAGGATGACCTTTTGTCACTCCACGAGTCGACCACATATTCATAGCCTGCAAGGATTCCACAAAATAAGTCCTCTTCGTAGAGTTTCTCCACAAGTGTCCAATAGCCTCTCCTTTTCGGTCGGTACCGATAACAGACGCAGCAAGGAGCCCAACTTTTCTTGGGGTGTCCGCGAGCCCCTCGTGGCTGCAAGGCGCGTAGAAGTGCAAGCATTGCAGAGCAGTTGAGGGAATAAGCCCGATGCATAGGCGCACTAGGTATCGTGATGGTTGCCATGGCGGAAAGAGCAAGCATCCTCTTGCATGTAAGTGCTAGGGACAGTTGGTCGACTGAGTGGGCATTCGCGATGATTTGTAGTAGGAGTTCATTGGGCAGAGCCACAAGTCCTGATGACTGGGTGACTAGCGGCGTTTCGAGGAGCTGCAGATTTGGCTATCAGCAAAAGAGTAAGCAGAGCAAACAGGTCCAGCCTACAGTTTGTGGAATTTTAAAGGCACCCCATTGGGCAGGGGCATGGTCTCTTTGGCAGTCCTCGAGGTGATACAGCCATTGCGCGTACATAACAAATGGAGACCAGCGTGTCTGTGGGCCTTGCGGAACAACAAACCGCACATGCGCGTCGCGTCTATAGAAACTGTTAGAAGTCACATGACTTCTTTGTTTGTATTAGTAGTCACATGACTTCTTTGTTTGCTCCTAGTACTTAGTCTAGCCAAACCTGTAGATAGCTTCTCTCTTCTACAACGCATCCAGAGATCTCCAGTTTCATCTACAGCTTCATTTGTAGACTGAATATCATCTCTCTCAGAAACGCTATGTACAACAGTCTACCCTACAACATACAGTGAGTGACTAGACGGCCCCACCTAGTTCACAGCCAATACCGCCTTCCTAAAATGCGTAGTATCTATAGATGGAACCATCCTAAAATAGTACGCGAAGCTGCTTTTTCGCGAGCGAAAGGCTGCATTCTTCTCTCCTAGACCTCCAAAAATAATGCTTATATATAAGAGTGGTGTGACAGAGAGGTGCTAAGCGGGCTCGGATCTAGAGAAAGCTCAGAATGCTCTAATGGATTTAACATAATTAACCATTAACTTCAATCCCCGAAAGCAATGTGCAAACTAGACTGCGACAACGCCCACCAAAGTGGAGATACTTTTAGCGTCGCCAAGACATATGCGGGAACTCTTGGCAAAGGGGGTACTGCCAAGAACTAGTTATGTACATAAAATGGCCTAATAGGGTAATTTTTGCATTAATTTTGCATAACGGTGGGCGATGGGCGTAAATTTTCAAAAGGCCCACGGGCCGTGGACACTTCCTAGTGCCCATGGACGGGCGATGTCGCAGTCTAGTGCAAACTACAATACTGTACCACAATTATATATTTGCGTACATACAAGGTAGACTGTAATAGCTCCAGAACAAACTTAGAGACTTGTGGAGGCCTGCCTAGTTGCCCCTGTTACTATTAGACTGCCTCGTGGCGTGCAGTTTCAAAATCCAGCCCGCCTTCTACGTACGTTTTGACTCTTGAGACATTGGTGAATAGTGAAAGTATGATTGAATCCAGAGAGTTAATTGATGATCAGTCATTTGCTTCGTAGGAGATCTTACCGATCCGCCCATCATCGACAATATGAATGTCGGCCTGTTAAGAGTCTCGGTGCCAGTCAGCTGACTGAAACGCAAGATAAAAGCCACGTGATCTGTCATAACAGCATCCTACGGCGGTTACTCCAGCAACGGCCAATCCGTTAGGGGTTCCCAAAAACTCATCTTGTCCAAATATTGACCTACCGCGCGTCCTCCGACGAGAGAAATTAAAAATAATAAACTTTGGGGCATACCATGTTGCGTCAAATCCACCCTGATGTGTGATGGGAAAAACGTCGCGATATTGTCCTGGATGGAGGAAGTTGCGAGGAGCGTGCCCAAAACTCCGCCCAACACTGATCTGTTGGAGAAACTGGTGAGCAACCTAACGACGCCTCCTTCAACCCCAGTGATCCAGCATACACGCAGAAGGTCGTTATCTGGAGCCGAAAATTCGATGCCGCAGCCAGATCCTTCGAAGAGACCCTATCGAACTGGTTCCGAAACAGCATCCACCATTTCCGTCCGCCTACCTGACGACATCACCTCTCTGGCCCCATCAAGTTCCGCGGCTAGTCGAGGTGGGAGATCACGTTCGTCTAGTCCATCACGCGTGAAAGCAGAACTAGCTGCCGCCACCCCCCAGGTCGTCTACGTACATGAATCTACCGACCCGAAAAGCGTCGCTGCGAGTCAACTACTGGCAACTCTAACGCAGGGTTCTGAGTTCGACATAGATGAAGGTGTTGCTCGGAAGATCTCAAATGCGTCGTGTCAGTGTGCTACTGAACTGCGCAGTGAAGGTTCCTGGTTGAATAAGGTCGCACTGCCGCTGTTGGATGGGGCCATTGCGGAACTGCCGTTAGAGTGTTGGAGCATGTATGTCCTGTCCTATCCACGAAGACCCCGTGTGCCCTACTGCTCTGTTGCTAATATCTTGTAGTCAAACAGAGTCCGTTGACCCTCAGTACCAACCTCGCTACACAGCCCGCGATACATACAACCGCAAAGTGGACCTGGTCGTCGGTCTGCCTGTGGAGTCTTGGAAAGTAGACTATGAACAGGCGGGGCTCAATACACCAGGTAAATGTTTCAGCCATATGACCCATCCGCACACCGGGAAACGTATTATTGGCCCTGGTGTTGATATTAAAGCTGCGGACGGAAACTTAGTAGAAGCTCAAGTCCAGCTTGGGGTATGGATGACAGGACTACTGATGTGGGCTTTCGCACAACGCAAGAGTGTGAAAGACTTGCCTCCGCTTATTGGCTGTACTGCTGTTGGGGAGGATTGGAAATTCTATATTGCAATCGGGGTCGAAGGGCCTGGCGTTCTGGAACAAGTAGTAAGTTGGTACGCTTCAGTGACTGCTAACAATGGCTAAACCTTATTACTTCAGCGTATCTGGGGTCCTTTATCTGACTTGGACGGCCGCACCACGAGTGTTAAACATACCACGTCTCTTTTGAGAACACTTCGCCGAGTTATGGAGTACACAATCGGGCAGTACAGAGAAGAAATCTTCCGAGCGATTACTTCTGGAGCTTAAAGATGGCCCCCAGTCACGTAGAATTTCTTCATTTTGGCCTAGCCAGCCAGGGATAGAACTTGATGTACTCTGTCAAGCCATTAGGTTGCACAACCCAATCTTAGGTGGTCGTGACTCATTTACTACTGTAATTGAATATTGCCAGGAACACAAGTTAACCTAGAGTAATCAAAATACAACAACGGCATTTTCTGGCAGATTAATTCCAAAACCTTCATAGAGCACAAGTGGTGAATAGAGGAGTAGTCAACTGATAATGGGACCTGAAAATAATGGGTAAAATAGGGTTGAATCAGGAGGCTGAATGTTAAAATTTCTTGTCTGTTCAACAGCATGACGCTGAAAACGCGAAGAGATGTTGCTACCCAATACTGATGGGAGGAGATCAAACACTAGGATGTTCAAAATGAGGACAGTCAAGAGGAATATGTAACTTGACTTACGTTCACTTATTCTTCCATATTTACATGCTTAATACCGTCTTTCTAATCTAATACAGTCCTTGGTATGGGTAACCTGGAGATTTCTTACCGTTATGTAGAAAGGTTCACGCAATGAAGGATGAAGAATAATGATGACCCGCTGGCCAAAGGCGTTTGAACATCGATTTGACGCAGAGGAGGACTCATGGAGCTCAAGTAGTTGGACATCAAGTTTAGTTCTCACAAGTACCAGCCCGCTTGGCCTATACTATTGGCACATGCTTCAACGTATCGCTTCTCGCTGCTTAATGCATAGCTAGCTGCTAGCTTATAGACTCGAGCTAAAGAAAGTTATAGCTGGCGTTGTTCATTCGCTGACCTGCAACATATGAGGGGTAGATTGGCTTACAAGAAAAAGATGGCGGCTAAAAATTATCTTTCGCCTATATAGATTAATCACATAGAGCGCACCCTCCGGCTCATGAAGCCCCGTAAAACACCATGGAAGAGATTTCCGACATCGTTCGAGAGACCGGCCGGCAGCAGACCGAAAATTCATACTACCGTACCTGCTACAAACTTCTCAAGCAGCTACAAGACTTAGTGGCCCAGGCATCTGATGATCTGCTTTGTCTTCCGCAATACAAAACCCTATGTCGAGTAGGGGGGTCGTCAGGTTGTCAGGTTGTCAGGTGGTATTTTACTAGTCGCTCCTAGTAGTATTAGGGTTACTTCTAGTAGAAGGTAGATAGTACTAGTGGGAAGTAGTAAAAGTAAATTAGTTACACCCAAAACGGCTGTCAGGTTGTTAGGTGAGCCCTACTAGTAAGACTAAATCATTTACTAGCAAGCTGGTAGCGACTAGTAAAAATCACCTAACAACGCCTTACTCGTAATTTATCGCTCACCTAATGTCACGGTGCGAACCGTGACACTAAGGGCTCTTTACATATAGAGGAATAGTACGAAAATATTTAAACCCCTGAATTTCGTATTAAGCCTACACCTAATGGCTGGATCGAAGATAAAACAGCTTTTGAATAGCTTTATTCCTTTTATAAAGCTACGAAACCCCTAATTTAAAAGGGTCGGCCAAGGCTTCTTTTAATGGATAATCATAGATCCTACACAACTATCAATTTTAATAAATTTTATAACCAGCATTATACAGGTATAGGGCGGATTACGTAGGCGTAGTAGCTAAAAGGATGTATATTACTATAGCTAATAAAGTAAATATGAATTAAAAAAACTTAAAAGGACCGAAGTCTAGAGATTGACTATATGCACACCCCTTAGCGCCATTTTTTACTATCTGCACACCTTTAGTCCTTTTTAGGTATAGCCTTTCTTGGCCAACCATTTGTCATCATTTGTGTAATTTAATATGGTATCCGCATAGTAAATGACACCCTCATCACCTGACTCTTAGCCACATATAACCCTATACCAAAATGCTTATCGGAGATCATGTGCCTGCTCCACAATTCATATCGCACAGTAACAATTCCACCATACCATAATTAATTTTTGAAGCTATTCACAGATCTCATTATGGATCCTTACTATAATACTGCTCCCCTGCCTACCGAAGCATATGAACCATGGGAATACGTTGATAACTAACGTATTCGGTAAGCGAGCTGGCCACCCTAACCAACTTCTTAATTTAAAATGCATTTATCTCAACCAAAACGCCATTAAATTCAATATACAAAAATCATCTATCTAGCTAGGCATCTATTAATCTTATGTCCTATTTCTCCACAACCACTACACTTTGGGGGGGGGCGTATACGTGGTTGTAAAGCCGGCGAAAAGCTTCTTCGTGGAGGGAGAGGAGGTACTTCAATTGCTTCCACCGGCTCAGTAATCAATTGAGAAGCTTCTTGAACCGAGAGGCCTTCGTCAGCAGGTATCTACCTCCGGGATCTAGTACGCTTTTGCTTCTGCTTCTCGTTGGCGGCGCGTAAATCCTTGTTTTCTTTGGCGAGTAAGATAGCACCTTGCATTGTAAGACGGAAGCCTTTTACAAGCTGGTTTAATGCACAATCTGACGGGTTAGGTGGGCTTCGAGATCTTGTGCGAAGTAAAGCTTTGATTGATGAAGCTTGACGACGTAGTTCTTTCTCCGTAAAGGGGGTTTTTGGGGTAAAATTCCGGCTTGATTCACTCCCCCGGCTGGCGTGGGGGGGGGGGGGTTCGAAGCCGAATATCAAGCTTTGAAATCACTCGGTCGGGTGCAAATGGTACTAAACTAGCTGCTCCGAAGCGCCAATCCTCTAGGAGGCTATTAAACCATGAATTAATAAAGACTTTGCCTTTGAAAATTATACACGGAGGAAGCACCTACCTAGAAGCATTCGTACATTCAACCACCGTCACCCATTCACGATTTCCAGGTTGTAAAACCGGCCTCCGACCGTATTATTCACTCCTCGTAATAACCTTCACGGTTGTAGTCAATCCCATTGCAAAACCGGTCTCATCAAAGTTATAGATATCATCAGGGTTAGA